TAGTCTGAAGGGCAGGGAAACAGCCCAATGAACATGACCGCAGAGGAGCCAATCAGCTAGATGTTGCTGGGGCCACTGTGAGCCAATCATCAGCTGGCAGCTTGAAGGGCAGGGAAACAGCCCAATGAACATCACCGCAGAGGAGCCAATCAGCTAGATGTTGCTGGGGCCACTGTGAGCCAATCATCAGCCGGCAGCTGGAAGTTTGCTGGCAGCTGGAAGTTTGCTGGGGCCCCTTTGGCTGTGGCTCTCAACAGACCTATGCACACTCTCTTTCTCTCCCTCTCTGGTTGGGAATGGGGGACCCTCCTTATCTTGGTATCCACCCCCAGTGTGGCCCAGAAAGCCACAGCAGAGCTGCAGAGCTGACCACATACAGCACTATAGCCACATGGTGTCCTTAGAAGGACACAGCATTGCTGGCAATATCGAAATGTCCTCCCATCAAATGGCTCGTGGGCAGTGGAGACAGTGGGGAGACCTTTGGAGACTAACATGATGGACTCCTAAGCACTATTACCACTGGGAGTCTCTGACAGGTAAGGGGGACATCACCCGGGGCCAAAACCTCAGAAGAGCAGAAAATACTGGGGTTGAGATTCAGATGTTAATATCTGATCCTTATTCACATCCAATGGCTGGTTAAACCTGGAGCCGTTCGACCCCAGAGTTCAATCCTCAGCTAGGGACTGGGGTGGCCAGGGGATGTTCCTCTCCCTGCCTGTTTCCAAGGGTTACTTCTGGGTTACTATCCTGTGGCCTGAAGTCTTGAAGACAGAACTCCTGGATTGGAAACTTAGCCTCTTAGTAAACCAAGGAAAGAATAAGTTTGTCTGAATGAATTGGCAATCTCTAGAGCTGCCAAGGATGGATCCCTAGAAATGGCAGCTTCCAAGGAGGATGCTAATTGAAAGGTACTGGCTGTAGGGAAGCCATCTGGTGACTTGTACAGGACATAGGGGTCAGTGGACAGTCGGGATCCTTCTTTCTGTCCACAACCCTGGCCTAGCGTGGGCAGGGAAGCACCACTGTGCCAGGCTCCTCTTCCCTCCCATTCCCGGCTGAGATTTGGGATAATGTTGATATTTCTGCTCTCCTGCAGGTGGCGCCACAATGTAGGTTTTCAAGCCGCTGCAGCCGGCCTGAGGTTTTACGGAGCCCTGCAGGCCCAGTCATGGGGCAGCTCTTGGGGAAAACATTCCTCTATAGCACCACCAGGCTCTGGCGATTTGTTTAACGGGCAAATCTGGGTTTAAAACAGCGTTGCTGTTTCTAGGCTAATAAAATGGGGCTAGTTAAGTGAAGGAAAACGAGCATTTCTTCTCCCTCCTATTAAATCTGGCCCTTTCTATTCAGCTGTGAGAGATGAGCCAGTACTTTTCTCCCCAAACATGGCAATAAACCACAACCAAAATCTCACACAAAAAAATAGGCTTTTTAGAAAATAGGAGTCTGTAGAGCAAAATGCCATTTACTTCTCCCTCTTGTGGCCATTCGGCCAGTCAATGACAGGCTAGAGGTAGAGCAGGTGACTCACAGAACAGTGCCCTCAGGGAGCAGCTAGACTGCCCTGGAGGGTCTCCCTTCCCCCTCACCAGCTGCTGTGGGTGGCAGAGGTGTGGGAGCTGGAGGGCTTGTACCAATACGCCCAAACAGTCGTGTGGCTCTTCTTTTCCTAGTGTTTTTATTCAGAGATGGGTCAAAATAGCAGAAGGCCTGCCCTCATTGTGATGTGCCCTTTGAAATTTAAAAAAAAAAAAAAAAAAAAAAAAAAAAACCATGTTCATTTGAAAAGAGATACTAAATCCTCACCTGGGCAGTGTCCTTACCTTAGGGTCTCAAAAAACACCAATAGATAGTGCTTTCCTTGACTGTCACTGCTAGGGGTAAACGTGGCAGGTGAGGGATGGAGTCTCACAGGAAGCACATGGCCTGCTCCAAATGAGAGCCCTGGGCGGTTGCAGAGCCAGGAACAGGACACAGGGGTTTTACCTGCAGCACCGAGACCTTCAGGCCCCTCATCCCCTTCTCCAGACTTGAGGGAGCAAGTCCAATGGGCCACTGGCAAGCCGCACGAGGGAGTTAGTTTGCCCCTTCCTGCTCTTCCATTACACTGTCACTGCCCCTTCCCATGCCTTTCATCTGTGTCATTCAATGGAAGGACAGGAAAGGCAGTGTGAGGTAGGGTCCCATTAAGAACAGGAGAACTGGGTATGTGGGGCAGCGTGGGGGGAGGGGGTGTGTGTCCCTCACCTGCCCATTGTCACCCCGCTTTCTGCACACTTCTTCCCCATCATTCAGCTCTGATAGGACTCTTCAGACACCTCATGACATTCATTTCTCTCAATGAAAATAAATGACACCACATGCTAGACGGCAGATAAAGAATAATAAACACATTTTATTTGCCACCTCTGAAAAAAATCCTTGACTTCCGGTCCATCCATCAGGAAGTGGGTCTGGAACTTGCAGCTATATTCTTACACACACACACACACACACACACACACACACACACACACAGAGTTACAACAGGCAGAAAAAACAATCAGATGGTATTAAAACTACACACTGGAATGACTGAGAAGGGAGCAAGGGCTGTTTTCCTACTTCCCTCTTCTTTTCAGTGTTTTTATAGCATATCCTGAAAGCTCCGTGGCAAACAGGCATTTGAAAAGACTCCATTGCACACACATTGATTGATATATACATTCCTTAAGCAACCCAATAGGGTTTTCTGTAGGACTATCTTGATGTCATCTCTGGGCATGGCCTATAATAGTGCCATGTAGCAATTTTAGAGGAGACCCCTGGACATGGGGCCAGGACCCACAGAGGCCTGGTTTACAAGCCCTGAGAGTGGGACCCCCTCTGGTTCTCCATCCAAGGTGCCTTGCTGGACTCATGCTGGTCTCCGTCCTGCATAGACAGACATTTGGCCGCAGGCTTCGTCAGCCCCAGAAGGATGTCAAAGAAGCAGCAGCATTGAGTTATTTTGTAATATGTTTCTCTGTACTTCTGAAACTAACTTGATATTGTGTGCTTTATCTAGAGTCTGGGATCCAGGGTTTCTGAGAAGAGAGGAGCCAGATCAATGTATTAACGTAAGCTAATAAGATGACTCCTCGTGCCTTCTGGGTCACGTAATACTCAGAGGAGAACTGGAGACTAACAGGGCTCCACGCTGTCTCCTGGAATACCCTTTAACCAAAGAATCAAACATTGGATTCCTCCTGCTCGGGTTTGATTCATCACCTTCTTGGTGAGAGCAGTTTCAGCAAAGTCCTGTGTGGGTAAGCCCAGCCTGACCCACATGTGCTGCCCACCTTGGGACTTGTATAACCTGTCATCTCACAGCTCGTTTCAAAGTCCCCCCAGTTTACAACTTTGATTTCTGTGAAAATATAACCTCTATGGGAAGGTGTGGGATTTTATGCTGTTGTCAGTCATTCCCACCTAATAAGAAGGTTTTGAGATGTTTGGATGGGAGGGAGAATAGTGGGCAGGAAGTTCTGGGTGTGAGGAAATGTTAGGTGGGAGAAGGGACATGTGGGGAGGAGAGGAAACCATGGACATCTTTGATGGGTGCCCATCCTGGGGAAGACTATGCCACTTCTCTGGAACTATGGTAGGAGCAGGGGTGAGGGATGCACTTCCAGAGTTGAGTAAACAAGGTGGGCACCCCTGAGATTTCTTTTGGTGGGTGGGGCTCATGGGGGGGGGGTCTGTGCAAGGGTTTCACTTCCTGTCCTCCTCTATTTCCTCCCTGTCAGAAAGCTTTTTAAACCAGAGCACCTCTGATTTCTTTCTTGGGGCTTTCTGAAACTACCCTGATACCATCATTGTTTAGGATGTAGTCTAGGATCTAGGGTTTCAGAGAACAGCCAGTCCCGCCTCTTCATGTAGACATCACTGGACAAGTCAGGTAACCAGTGAGCTCTGGGGCACCTGCCATTCATGCTCTCTCTCCCAGGTCTTCAGTCCTTCGTCCGGGTTGACTTGAGGTGCCACATAGGGGTGCCTTCGTCGGGGGAGCTGGGGGGTTCTGATTAGATATGTGTGTATACTTTGGTGTTGGGGAGTGCCTTATGTCATCTCTGACCCTCGGTCCCTGGGTCCCTCGGATGAGATGGTCCGCGCCCACATCACCACCTTTGGAGGAGGTTGAATGTGCCTCGCTCCGAGTGCGCATCGTGCGCGGGTATTACGGTGTCTGCACCCCTCTATCCCACATCACCACTGTCAGGATTTTCTCGGGTCAAGCCAAGGGGACCCAGGAGGGTGTCTGCACACATCCGCGCTGGGGAGAGCGGGCAAACCCGCGGCGGCGGGCGTGTGCCTGTGGGGAGGCGCCCCCTGCCCCCTCTGCCGGCCGTTCTCCCTCGGTTTAGATGTCAGCCGCGAGCTCCGAGCCAGCGAGAGCGATCCAGAGAGGGAGCGGCGGCGGGCGGCGGGCGGCAGGCGGCGGACGGCGGGGAGGGGAGGAGGCGAGGCGAGGGAGGGAGGAAGGGAAGCAGGGAGGGCGGGAGGGAGGAGAGGAGGACCCAGAGAGCGCCAGGCAGCTGGAGTTTTTGCAGCGCTTGGCCGGGCTTCAATGCACAGCAGCAGCGAGCCGCGGCGGCAGCAGGCAGCCCGGGAGCTCCGGCGGCGGCCGAGCCAGCGGCGGCCCGGCTCCCTGCCCCCTGCAAACTTTGCGAGCAGCCCGCCCGGGGGGCCGGGGGCGCGCCCGGGAGGCCCGGCTCGGACCGCGGCCGTGCTCTCGGCCGCCGCAGCGCCAGCCGCCGCTGCCGCCACCGCTGCAGCCCCGCGCCTCCCAGGGGAGCAGCCGGTGGCTCCCGCGGCCCCCCAGACCCAGCCCCTGGGAACTACCCGGCGAGTCCCTCGGCAGGGGCGGGGGCAGCAGCGGCGCAATCGGCAGCGGACTGCCGGGGGGCGGCAGCCGCTGCCCAGCCAGGCACGCAGAGGCGCCGAGAGTGCTCCGCGGCGGGTCCCCAGTGCACTCGCCGCGCCCGGGCAGCGGCCCGACCGGGCGAGCATGGGCGGTGCGGAGTGACGCCGCTGTGCCCGCTTGGCATCAAGGACATTCAGCCCGCGGGGGTGGGGACGAAGGGGGGCAGCCCCGCGTCGCCACTGCAGCCCCCGAGAACCGCCGCTGCTGCTTGGGCTCCGGGGCTAGGTGGAGGAAAGGGGTGCTGGGAATTCATCCACATTTTCCGACCTTTTTGTTGGACATTACGCCCACCTTGGACGCTGCAAGAGGAGCTGTCAAACCCCGCAGGCTCTGATTTGGCCCCCTCCGCTTTCCTTGGCTGCTCCCGGCTTCCCTGTGCCTCGGTGGAGTATTTGCGTTCTGGGCTGGGGCTGGAGGAGGCAGCCACACGCGCGCACACGCACACGTTCAGAGGAGGGCGAGAGGCAGCGGCACAGGCACCATCTGCAGTGTCAATGCGGCGCTCCCACTGAAGGAGGGAAACGCGGTGCTTCCAGGTAAGGAACCGATCGGCTGGGACGCGGGGCCGGGCGGGCGGCGAGGGTAGCGCAGGAGAAGATACCGGGTCCGGTCCGGGAGTCCTCGCTGCCCCGGAGCCATCCCATTGCACACGCACAAACACGCGCACACACAAATACACACAGGCACACACTGCGCTCACGCACCTGCCCACGTCCCACCTGGACACCGGCATAGGTGCAGCGCGGCCGGAGCAGGGATTTCCCGTGTTCTTTCTCCTCGTACGCTCCGGGACTCAGACTTCTCTTACCCAGGACTTTCAGGGTGGGATTCGGTGTATGAATGGCTCTCCCTCCCACCCGGGTAGGATGAGGGAGCGATATTTCAGTTTCCAGCCCCTTTCATTTCTAGCTGGTTTTTAAAACGGGAGAAGTCATGGGAGGTCTTGGGAGACCCGCCCAACGCGATCGCGACTCGGTGGCCTTTGGACACCCTGAGGTTTTAATGAGAGGCAGACGGACAGATATTCGGACAGAATTTTGGAGAGCGTGGTAGCCCCGCGCACCAGGAGGAGGCCACATAGGCGGATGGGGCTGCAGTTCTGTAGGGCGGTGCATATGGAAAAGACACTGCGTTTCCCCAGTAAGAGGCAGCACAAACGCCTTTCCAAAGCGTGGCACGGCTTCCCGGGAATGCGCCGGGATTTCAGGCAGGAAGGGGTTTCAGCATCGCGTCGCTGGGGTGTGTGTGTTGCTTGTCTAGGGAAGGTGCCAGGGTCAGATCCTCCTTAAAAGGTTTGACCTTATTCACATCCCCAGTCGCTAGGAGACCTAAGCAGGCAGAGCTTGGGACTCAGGACTTGGGTCTCCCTCTCACCTCCCTACCCTTTCCCCTGTCTCTGGCCAACACCTGTCACATGCCTTTGGAGGTGTGGGTTTGAGAAAAAGACCTAGGAGCCGGAGCCAGAGGGGAGTAGTCTTCAAGGGAAGAAGGTCCTGTCTCTCATGACCACGTGGGCAATGCCCACGGTATTCTGGGGTCTGGCAGCGTCCCCCAGAGCCCTGGCTGCTCCTGAGAGTAGAAATCTCTCCAGAAGCCAGTGCTTCCAGGTTTTATTTCCCAGAACCTTTCCTTTTCCTTTTCTCTCAGGTTGGAGTTTCACAGGCTGCTCATTTTTAAACTTTTCCAGGAGGAGGAAGAAGGTAGTTGAGGTTCCAGAGGGGCATTTCCTTAGTTCCCATCTTGGCTGCCTAAGAGTAACTCATTTAGGGGTTCAGTTATTGTAAGAAGAGTGGGAGAGCCAAATAAAATAGTATTTCATTATTTCAGGGTTGAATATCCATATAACAAGCTTCTATATTTCTATAGCTGTCTCTCTGAGGTGGCTTTTTTGGGCAACCTGTCCCTTCCAACCTGTCCCTCTATATAAGTCATGCGGTCAGGGTGTCCCACAAGCCCACTAATGGGAGAAATAGGTGAGAAGCCTTCTGGAACATGAGGGGCAGGGAGCAAATGTTCTTTTGAACAAGAAGGCCTCAGTGCTGGGCACAGAATTGGGGTTGCTTTTAAAAATCCTGAAGATGGATGTGGAAATAGAGGGCTTTTTCTGTACCCCCAGCTCTATTTTCAAACTTTTCAGTTCCTGCAAAGGTTTCTGGCTAGGCTGGGGAGAAGAGCAGACGCCCCAGGAGGGAGATTGTATTCCTGCTGTGCAGTGTGAGCTGCCCTTTGATTGATTGAAAAGGGTAGATGGAATAAAGCAGAGCTCTCAGGCTGGGGAGAGCTCAGTCCATGGAGGAAGAAATATTATTTTCTTTTTAAGAATGGTGGGTGTGTGCACACGCATGCAGATAGACACACGTGTTCTCGGTGTTCTCGGAGTCTAGTCAAATGTGTTCAATCGGTCCCACCATGTGTGATAGTGGGGTCCATCTCTGTCTTCTGGGCTGTGGAAAACCGGCAGTCTCCACATGCATACCCTTGAGTGCGTGGACAGGGAGATCCCACCAATGCATAGGGCAGGGCAGCACATGGTTTGCCTTGCAGTAGGAATAGTGAGTTCCAGCAACAGTGTAACATTCTCATGGGACATGGAAGGGGCAAAAGTTAAGGTGCAGATCTTCCTGATTTGCTCCTTTCTCTGCTTCCCGCCGTCCTGTCTTTCCTTTCTGTCATTTTAATGCCAAGTCAACACTCATTATGCTGCTTATAAGCTGAATACCAGGGTCCAAAAATCCCCCACACTTTCTGCACTATTCTAAGGGTACCAGTTTGGTTTCTAGGCCAAGTCAGGCATTAATTAACATCTGTGTAAAGCTGGGTATACATCTTCTAATTTTTTTTTCCTGGCTTCATTGCCCAGCCCTGGATATGCTACAGGGTCACTCTCCCTCCATACCTCTTCTGACACCTTCCCTCCAAGTTCTCCGGGGTCTTCCTCACTAGGAAGGGAGTTAGCCACCCTGGAAAAGGCCCAGGCACAAATGATCCTCTCCACGCCCCTCACTGTTGCTGGATTGTGTTCCCACTGCTCACCCAAGAACACAAGGTGTGGGTCCCCCATAGCAGCTCCTTCCCGGAATCCCAGGGCTCCCTCTGTCCTCCCGCACTTCATCCTGGATGCCCACTGACGCTCTGCAAACATTTCCGGAGGAATCGGAGGCAGCCAACTTGCTTCCTTTCTGCTTCTCGGTGCCTCTCCTATTCTTGCAGCCCCAGCTCCAGCTCCCTGCAGACAGGGGAATCTGCAAAGGCAGACTCTGCCTACACTTGGCCTCCGGATCCTTTTAATCACAATGAGGGCTGCTGGGAATTGAGTGGGGGGCTTTCTAGGGCAGCAGCAGTCCTGGGGGTGGGGACTGGGGGGATGGCTTAGTAACTACTCTCAGCTCATAGTTATCACCTGGCTTTGAAGCAAAGAAATTGCAGCAAGCCTGTCTCCTCATAGCCAGCTAGGGGGCATTTCTTAGCTGCTTCTCCCCATTCTCACCCTGAGAAGGCACCGAACAGACAATGCACATCAGAGACCTGTTGGAGTGGCTCTCTGACTGGCCATGACGGGGCGGCAACATTACCGACAGCCGACCATGATCTTAACTGCGATTATTAGTCTGTGCAACAGATGTACCATCCTCTCTGATCCTCTGATTTGTGTCTGGTTCTACCCATTGTGAAACTGGTTCTGACCCTGGGCTTCTGAACAGGGTTGATTTCTCTCCCATGACACCCCTTTTTTCTTCTTCCTGGTTTCCTGCTGCCCCCTTGCTAATCCACCTCTTGGCTTTGTAAGCATTTCCGCCTGCCCATTTGCCTTCAAATTTGCGGCACTCCAAGAAATCAATATAACATGAATTTAACGACAGCTGGATGATTAAGTGTTATTTATATTTAAGAGCGGCATTTTAAAAAGATGTCGCGTTAATAAATCAAAAGGCTGTTTGGGAGAGGCACGTGATTAGGGTAATTGCCCTGGAGGCTCCATTGAGCAAGGCTCAGTCCACACAGAGCCCTGCGGACACTGTCTCTTTAAAAGCTGTGAGTCCCACCGCTCCCTCCCCCAGAAAGCCCACCTGATCCCCTCTCAGTCCAGACTTAGCCTTGGGTCTCCTGTCCTAGCTGCCCAGGCTGCAGCATTCTAGTTGTGGCAGGAAGGTGGAGCCAGTGGGGAGCCTGGAGGGGGCTTTGCTGCCAGGTGGTAAGGGACGGACCTTCAAGGGAAGGCGGACCAGGCGGGTGGGCTCCTCAACAGAGGCTTGTCCTAGAGGGAGCAGGCTGCTTCTCTGTCTGGTATGAAGCAGCTTCCAGGCAAAGCTCCTGGAGTCTACAGGAGGATCCCTGTCCTACCATCATGTGCCATCAGTCTCTCTGGGGAAGAGGCAGTGAGGACATTAGTGTTGGTGTTAGTCCTTATGAACACCAGGGAATGGAAAATCATACGAATTAATAATGATAACGGTGGCCAGGATTTATGCAGCGATGGGAGAGACATCGTTCAAGTAATTCACACAGGTTGGCTCATGTATTCCTCAGAACTGTCCAGAAAGGCAATCACTAATGCTATCTCCATGTTTTCCAGGATGACACTGAGATGAGGGAGGCTCAGGACTTTGTCCAAGGTCACAGGGCCACCAAGTGGTGGAGCCACAGCTCAGCCCTAAGCAATCTGACCTGGCCATGGCCCCTGGTCACTCTGCTGCTGGCCACCTGACAATGTATGTGCTCAGCAAGATGCTTCCCAGTGTTGGGTGAGTGTGCGGGGGCCAGGTGAGAATATCTGGCCCTAGTTTTGCCCTTGGATTATCTCTGACCAGATTTATTCTTTGAGCCTCAATGTCCCCAACCCCATTCTCCAAGGGAGATGAGTGTTATCCTTGGCTGTGGTGTAAAGTTGCAAGCATCTTTCCAAAGAATGTTCTGTTCCTGAGGGTGAGTGTTACTCTGTTTGGCATCTCCAGTTTTCTCCTGGAAAAAATTAAGGCAGAGGAAATGAGTGAAGTCCCCATCTCTGGTTTTGATTCATGAATGCTCCAAGTGGAGTGGGAGTCTGGCTCTCCTTACTGACTGCTTGGAAATCCTGGTGCTGTGGAAACGGTGCTTTCTCATTGAATCCTGCAAGTGACTGTGTGAGGCAGGGGTTGTAGAACGTAGGCTGGGAAAGGGCTTCAGTGGGATGCTGCAGGCCCCAGGTTGCAAAGCTTCCCCATGGCTGGTTCACTCTTGGGCAAGGATTCTTACCGTTGTGCTACTCATTCACTAACTCTAGGATTCTAGAATTTGGAATCCAGAGGCAGGAAAGAATCTCTGTCTGTGGATGTCATGCCATGCTGGGTGCCCGAACCCGATGGTAGCTGGGGCAGCGCTCATTAGAAATTGGTGCTAATGGCCTATAGAGTCCAGCAGAATTTTGTCAGAGACCCAGAAGTGTAGAGAAAAGAATCAGGACCTGCGATGACACAGGCTGGGGTGAGGCCTGAGGAATCACACCTCGATGCTGAGGGATGTGGGCAATAAGGTCCTGAGATCACCATAGACCAGGTTG